GAATTATGAGAAAGCCTTCGATTCCGTCAAAATTTGGGCGACGTCCATTACCAGTGCTGAAGTGTTTGTGCAGTAGGGCTACGATGGCTATCCGAGTACAGAACCAAAGTACGAAATCTATCCAACTGCAAAGAGGTGTAAGACAGGGTGACGTTATATCCCCGAAACTCTTCACCGCAGCATTGGAAGACGTTTTCAAGCTACTGGACTGGAAATGATACGGTATTAACGTCAATGGCGATATATCACTCAACTTAGATTTGCCAACGTTATAGTCCTTATGGCAGAATCCCTGGAGGACCTAAGATTAGTGCTCAATGACCTTAATAATGCCTCCCACTCCCAAAACGGATAAGTCTTAAGATAAACATGGACAAAACAAAGATCATATGTAACGTCCATGTCACACCTATGCCGGTAGTTGTCGGGAGCTCGAAGTTGTTGACGAGTATGTTAACCTGGGACAAATAGTCCGACAAGGTAAGTTCAACTTCAACCGAGAGGTCAATCGACGGATTCAACTCGGCTGGTCAGTGTCCGGGAAATTACGACACATCTTCTCGTCAGCTATACCTAAAACCTGAAAACCAGACTGTACAACCAGTGCGTGTTGCCAGTGATGACTTATGCAGGAACTGAGACGTGGCCCTTTACTGCTAGTCGTATGAGGACGCTAAGGTCGCTCAGCGAGCTATGGAAAAGGCTATGCTCAGGGTTTCTCAGCGTGATAAACTTAGAAATGAGGATATCCGCAGTAGAAGCAGAGTGACCGACATAGCCCTACGGATTAGTAAGCTGAAGTGGCAATGGACCGGCCATATAGCTCGAAGAACCAACAACCAATGGGGAAAAAGGTTCTCGAGTGGCGGCCTCGGACCGGTCGGCGAAGTGTAGGGCAACTCCCCACTAGATGAAGTGACGACCTGATAAGACATGCAGGAATTCGACAGATGCAGGTGGCTCATAAAACGACCTTATGGTGGAAAAATAGGGGATGCAGTTTTAAATGTAGCTATTTAGACGACATTCCAGCTACTCCACCTTGAGCTTGTGATATTTCTTAGTCCAGTCAAAAGGGTAAAAAATTCAATATAAAACATCGTATTTGATTTGAGCGGTGCGAGCGGAGCTCCCACGGCGCAAGAAAACGATTCTTTGAAACCTATCTCCTCCGTAACCCGTAAGCCAATTTACATAATTTTTCGGCAATATTTGTAGCTCAACGTAGTTTGTAAACAATAAAACTCTGAATTTGATTTTTGAAGTGAAAACTTCTTTAGCATTGTTGTGATTTGAAACTGGATGAAACGAAAAAGCGACAGTAAAAAGAGACAGACACATAAATTCATAAGATTTAACGTGGGAGAAAATGAGATAGGAAGCATTATAGATTATAGCTCAATGTTCGCGAGAAAAAAGTCGTAAACGCCGCCGAAACGGCGTCACTTACGCGTTTTGTTCAACAAGGTACGAACTGTGGTACGAATGGAAGGTGTCGTGTGCCTATGGTGAAGAACGGCCAAACCTCAACTTCGTAATAGGTAAAATTGATATAAATCTTTTTGTAAGTAGTGAGTATTATATAAGATATATCGAAAAGAGTAATATAATATCTGTGTCTCATATATGTATTAAAAGAATTGTTACATTTTTTTACTATAAAATTATATTTTCTTATATTTTATGCCGAACTTGTAATTTAAATTATAACATTAAATAAATCATTTAAAGTAATTGTATTTTATATTTCATTTCCTTCGAAGGTTTCACTTCTGCTTCTGTCGCGTGTGAGCTGCACACATGTTTTTTTTTTCTTTTATTATCTATCTAATCAATTTGCTAATTTACATCTGCGCAATGTCACGCCATTTGATTGAATCTTTTGGTGAAATAAAGATAGTTACGACTTTACGGCCTGGCCACGGGGATCGGCGGCGCGAACGGCGAAGCGACGGGCGGGGCGACAATTCGCGCGGCGCGATTTGAGGGCCACGGGAAGTCACGTTTGCCGCCGCGACCAGATAGGCCGAGAGTAAAATGTCTTTATCAAAGTTATCTCGATATTGCTTAGAAAGTAATTGTTTTTTGATTCAAGACATAATATTTGGAAAAGATTGCACGGAGTACATGATTTGGATAGGAATCGGGTTATAAATGGAGAATTCCACAACAAATAGAATGCATCTAGAAAAAAATTCGAGTAAATACCAGAATAACTGTCGAAACCTGCGATTATATTCTTGTTATGTATATGTATGTTCAACCAGAAGAAAAAAGTCAAGCGGATAGAATTTTAAGTTGTTTTTGTCGGCCCGGCATTTTTCGCGGCGAAAACAACTAAAATATTTTGTTCCCTTACCATTCGCCGCGTCTGCGCCAGCCCGACTCCGTGGCTTGCACCGTACTGATCTGATCCATACATTTGTTTCATTCGCCCGCCGCACCGCCAGTCGCCCGCGCGATTCGCCCGGTAAATTTCGCGTCGCCACTCGCCGCTACGCGTGGCCTGATCTGCTCCATACATTTCTATACATTTGTTTTAGTCGCTAGACGCCTCGCCGTTCGCGCCGCGCGAATTTTCGCTACGGCGAATGTCCCGTGGCCAGGCTGTTAGACTTTTACTCCGCTCCGTTTATGATGCTAGCAAAAGGTTTTACCTTTGCATCTGCATCATTTATATTATCATAACATCAACAAAGTAATTTGCATAATATGTATATTGATAAATTATATACCTTGCTAGTGAAATGTCTTTTGTTGATAGCTGAATGAAAATAACAAAAGTAATATCTGAGATAAGGACAGATACGGTGGGTCTGTGGTACGAGAATGTGGTACCCGATAATAAAAAATAACAATCTACTTAACTTTGACTGAGATTTCAAACCCAAAAGACCAGGGTTATGAGGTACAAAGCAAGTTCAACGTCTTTTTTAAACTTGCGAGTATTTAGTTACATTAGCATTAGAACGGAAACGTGTCACTGAATTAGCTGAACGAACAAGACTTTAACGGACTACGACGAAACACCTTGAATACGTTATGAGCGCCCGGTATATTGCTAAGTTTTTGTTATATCATACCTAAAAAAACTAGCCAAGTGCGTGTCGGCCACACACAATGTAGAGGTATGGTTCCGTAGTTGCTCCTCACAATATGAGGGTTTTCGTGATAATGAGCATACTAAGTGAGTTTGTAGTTCGACAACGACTAAAATGGGTCCAAATAGGAAGATGGTAACTGAAGGAGTTATTTTAAACCTTTACGATTTTGAAAATAATACAATTTACATCAAATCATTCACGTGCCAAGTCCGTACGGTGGTCATAGTTGACTATATATCTATATATTCCCGGCAGTGCAACCCTAAGATATTATATGACCGTAACGAACCTTCCCGTAAACCACTACTGCCCTAAATTATCCTGAGGGTCGCCCGCGTAAACCAAGAGTATGACGAATGAAACTGTATGAGGCTATATGATTGTATGAATACTTTGAATGGGGCCTACAATAACTACCAACTGAAAAATAAGCGAAAGTAGTAAGTAAGAAAGATCCTCCCTGCCTATCCCACAAATGAAAAAGTAAAGCTATAGAAGTAATGCATATATAAGTAGTTTTGTTCATAAAATGTTTATTCCTTTTAATTTACAATAATATTAGTAAGTTATAATGCAGCTAGTTTTAGGTCATTTTCTATGAAGTTGTAACAACATTTTTACTAATCCAAATGAGTTTTATAAGTTGGTCGACTATTACTCATTAACTCTACTTGTTAATTCTACTTAGCTGTGATAGTTTTCTTTTTAACTTCATTATATATACTTCATCATGTATACTTTTCACATTTTCAAAAACAGCGGTTGTTGGTAGGGGAGGGGGGAGGACATGACTAATGACAAATACCAATTTAAAGTTAGATATTTCGCAAGAGGACACATGTTTTTCTATACCCCTAGCGTTTTTGAAATAATTATCCAACGATACCCCACACGATGGAATAGACGGGTAAAAAATATCATCCTCCAGTTACCAGTGAGGTACCCAAAATAAAAATGTTTTTTAAGATTTTATTTCAGTTTTGGAGGCGTGATTAATATATGTAACTATGTCAAATTACAGATTTGTAGCACGGACATGGCGAATCTATAGGAGTTCCTTTTTGTGTAACTACGGAACCCTAAAAACTAAAAATAAAATAGAATTTAACTTAAAAACAAGCTATTGCTATGAAATCAGTTTACAGGTAATTGAAATAGTAACACTAGGATTATCATTGTCTATTTAGTCAAAAAATCTGTTACGGTTCTAGATTTAGGTACTAACCTACATAAATTGTAAATGTAAAACGGTATGTGTTTTAAATTTTAAATGTTTACAAGTGTTTTTGCTATTTCAAGCACCACATAGAACACATTAAAATAATATCCAATGAAAATAGGCAGTATATTATACATTATATCCAAGCCATATGCTATAGATAAAAGTAAAAAAAGTTAAATTGTCAAAAGCCAAGTTACGTTAGTACCTATTTCAGCCGTAATACACTTAACTCAGAGAAACATATTGAGTTATAATGTACGAGAACCCTAGTTCGATTGCAATTTTGATAAAAATAATAATCGCATTAGGGAAACGAATTTGTTTTACTATGTTATATATTATAATTTTAAGTGATAAAAATACGTAAGTGGCCGTAGTTAACGACAAAACTGAAAAGCAGAAAACTTTGTCTTCGTTCCTCGAAACAATGGCAGCAGATGAATACGTTAAAGAATACGGATAGGTACTTTCTACCAGTTTTACTAGAGAGATCGAAGCTCCTAGCTCCTTGTTATGCATACATTTTTATTTGAAAATAATATAACTCGTTTATAAGCTATGCCATTGCGTTATAAGTAATATCGATGCTCTATGTACTTAGGGATTGTTAATTTTTGATACCAATCTTATTTTACATTATTTGTAATTTCTAAACTATTAACACAAAATCTTACCTAATGTGAGCAATCCCACGAGGGCGGTGAATCCGTTAAACAACATGTTGGGCACAGTCACTCAGCACTTCACAAATCACTTTTGTCACTTTCAGAAAAAAAAACTCAAAAATGACGTGAATAAAAAAATAAAAACTTCACTAGCCGCAATGCGGCCGGGCGCAGCCCGAATCTGTAACAAATAACATTGTATGTTAAGATTATTTTATATTATTAGTATATCCTCTTACTACTTATAAACCATTATATATACATGTGTTGTATAACTCAATGTTATAAACTTATCTACACTAATATTGTAAAGAAGAAAGATTTGTTTGTTTGAATTGAATAGGCTCCGAAACTACTGGACCTATTTAAAAAATTCTTTTACTATTGGTATCATACATTATCCCTGATGAACATAGGCTATAGTATATTTTCAAAAAAGTTAGAGATCCGTATAAAAACTTCGTTAAGGTAACCCAAGATGTGAAAAAATACCAAAAAAAAAAATCCTTATATCGCGTACGCTGCGGAAACTATTGACAATAGAGCAAAGTGATGTACTACAGTTTTATACCATATGTCTAAATATTACAGTTATGTCAGAATAACTACTTTTTACTAACTTTTTCATGTTATAAACCCAAAACCAAAACCCACGTAAAACTACTTTGCTGGCTTTCTTTGAACTCCGTAATGAAGATGAATTCGCACAGACACTTCTATACCACGAAGTCCCGCAATACCACACATGGTAAATTCACAAGAAGGAGGCGTGTTGAGGACGTAGTTGGCCATCCAGGCATATTAAAGATGCTGCTTTAGTTAGAGTCTACGTTGTACATCCTTCTCAATCAAAGTGTTTTTATCTTAGGATTTTCCTACATCACGTACGCGGTCCACCCTCTTTCGAGTACTTAAAAACCATTAAGGGAGTTCTCAAAAAGACCTATCAAGCAGCTTGCCGTGACAGAGGTTTGCTTCAAAACGATGAGCATTGGGAAAATAGAAAATACTCTGAGAGAAGCATCGCTTTTGCAATGTCTAGCATAACTGGCTGTTGTTTGTAGTTATACTTTTATTTTGTCAGCCATCAGAACCATTGAAATTATGGGACAATTTCCAAGACGGTTTATGTGAAGACACAAAATCAGATAGCAAAATCAAGACTTCGCGTTACCATACAGTGAGGACATTTATAACGAAGTTTTGATACAAGTAGAAAGTAAGTAGACTATTGCAATTAAATGATAAAAACCTAAGTGATTTTGGATTACCTTCTTCAGTTTGTACAGAAAACTATGCTACGGATATAATGGCGCATCACTATAATACAAATAATTTGACCGCTTTTGTCAATGAAAACCTGCCAAAATTAGTCCCAGATCAAAAACATGCTTTTGAGACTATTGTCAATAGCGTGAAATAACAAAAGAACAATATTTTTTGGATGCGCCAGGTGGCACTGGTAAGACGTTTCTTGCAAATTTGATACTTGCTAAGATACGACAATTAGGGAAGATAGCGATAGCAGTTGCTTCGTCAGGAATTGCTGTAACTCTCTTAAAGGATGGAAAATCTGTTCATTCTACTTTTAAACTTCCGCTATCCGTAACCCTTGAGCAACAATGTAAAATGTAAATTCCGTGGACAGAACCTTAAAATATCTTAGAAACCCCTCTGGTCTCATGGGCGGGATTACTTTTGCATTTGCTGAATATTTCCGAAAGACTCTTCCCGTCATTAACAGAGGTACACGAGTATATAAACTCAAAGCATGCTTGAAATCGTCTCCCTTATAGACTTCGATTGAAGATTTAAAATTACGGACAAATATGAGAGCTCATATTCATGGAATCACGGATAATCATTTCCCACAACAATTGCTAAAACTTGGGAAAGGAATTTGTAACACTCCAAATTTAAGCAGAAATTGTGACGTCCTTCTGAACGAGTCTATAGGCCAAATAGTCCATAATTTAGAAACTTTAATAGATGCAGTATACCCAGTATAACATCGAGAATTTGCACGAAAAGAAACTTTAATAGATGCAGTATACCCAGTATAACATTGAGAATTTGCACGAAAAGAAACTTTAATAGATGCAGTATACCCAGTATAACATCGAGAATTTGCACGAAAAGAAACTTTAATAAATGCAGTATACCCAGTATAACATCGAGAATTTGCACGAAAAGATACTTTAATAGATGCAGTATACCCAGTATAATATCGAGAATTTGCACGAAAAGAAACTTTAATAGATGCAGTATACTCAGTATAACATCTAGAATTTGCACGAAAAAAAACTTTAATAGATGCAGTATACCCAGTATAACATCGAGAATTTGCACGAAAAGAAACTTTAATAGATGCAGTATACTCAGTACAACATAGAGAATTTGCACGAAAAGAAACTTTAATAGATGCAGTATACCCAGATAACACAGAATGCACGAAAAGAAACTTCAATAGATGCAGTATACTCAGTATAACATCGAGAATTTGCACGAAAAGAAACTTTAATAGATGCATTATACCCAGTATAACATCGAGAATTTGCACGAAAATGACTTTCATTGGTTGTGTTCTAGAGCAATAGTATCGCCTAGGAATTAAACTGTCAACGAAACAAACTGATTATTAAAAAAGTTCCCGGCCAAATAAAAAATTACAAATCGATCGACACCGTGACCAATATCGATGACGCAGTCCATTACTCACAGGAATTTTTAAAATCACTAAACCCTTCTGGACTGCCAATACACGAATTGAAGTTAAAAATCGGAACGCCAATCATGCTTTTGAGAAACTTAAGCCTCTTGAGCTTGTGCAATGGGACGAAGCTCGACCATCATCACCGGCTCATCAGCTGGTCAACTAGCTCATATACCGAGGATAGTTTTTACGGATTTTGTGCATGCACATGAGTATAAGCTGTGCAGAGGGTTACTTCTATGTTACCGTAACACAGAAGTGTCTATGTTACTGTATGTTATTAAGTAGCAAAATCTACGGCCTTACCCATAAATCATATATCATTACTTTCGCAAATTCAAGAAAAAATACAAAAAGTAAACAAGCTGACAACAGCACATTCCAACTATCCGCAAATATATCGAAGTTGGGTGCAGCCCTCAGAAGAGCGTTGATTTCGCTGTGTATAAGACAAACTTAGGGTTGGCTGAAGATATCCGGTACTTGATTTTAATAATATATATAGTCTAGGAGGCTTGTTAGGGTTAAGCTTGAACCTATTACACTGTTTTAGATGTCGGAAATGCGTTTTGAATTAATTACGATAAAAACAAATTTCATCAAAAATTGCTTATAAGGAAACGCAAATGTGTCAATTTGTTCTCGTATTATAAAGTAGACGTATGGTACTTGATTTTTTAATTTTTTTTTCAATTTAGGAGGGTTGTCTGGGTTAAGCTTGAACCTTTTACACTGTTTTTGGATTTTGGAAATGCCTTTTGAATTAATAACGATAAAAATAAATTTCATTAAAAATTACATATAACGAAACGCAAATTACATATGTCAATTTGTTTTTTTTTAACACAGATACTCATAAAAAAATTTATGTCTTAGAACCAGACAATCCATTTGTGGCTGAAGACAGAACTCATATATAACAAATAGAGTCGCTGTGGAGAGCAGTCAAGAGGTTTTTCAGAAAACAAAATTATAACAATTCACACTACATTATTTCATTTACCACTATCATAGCAGAGTTTAGGGCAACCTGACTTTATAGGTAAGACTGGTCGAATCTGTTCTAAACCGGAAACAGCTCGCCCCGACTCAACGTGGTCTTGTCTGCCCTACCCCTAGTGTTTTTGTAAAGCCGTAGGCGCGGCTGGAGAGCAGCCCCCGCCCGCCGTAGCAAATTGCAGGCACCCGTGCGAGACGTAGCGGCTGAGGCGCCGAAGCTGTTGCAAAAGTAACTCAATATTCCTGTGTAAAATTCTGTGTAAAATGTGAGGTTATGATTTTACAAAAAAAATCATTACTCATAAACTATACATTTCCGCAAGGGGGGAAGGATAGGGGGAGCTTCCTCTGAACCTTTCCTTCCCTTCACCCTCCTCCCTACTCACGTACGCGAGTATCGGATGACTATAGTTTAACCCAAACTTATATTTACGCGAACACTACACATTTAAATAAAACTAGTTTTTATGGATTTTATTGCGTATATTAACTTATTTTATATTCCCGAGGTTTCCAGTATTTTACAGCGCCGATGGTCACGGCGGACTGAAGTGTTCGACGTCCCAATGTGTAAGCTAACCAACGCTAGCTCCAGCTTAAAATGATTAATTTTTGTTCTGATGTACTCGTATGCAGTATGAACTTATGAATATTATGAAGCGTATTTGTCAATGTATTTACTCGTAGCTTTCGCGTTTTATAAAAACAACACAAGTAAAATAAAACAACAATGATTAATATGAGATTCTTGAGTTCCTGAAGAGCTATTCTAATCCCGCTTAGACTAACGTCCAGGAATCATCGGAATGATTTCAGATAAGACTTGCCCTTAGGTTGTTACTCAAACTTGCGTACGGATCTATCGAAGATGTATACTGCTATTCATAAAACTCTTCGATCTGACTCAAAATCTCCAAGACCGAAAATGACGCTGCGACTACGGCAAAAAGATCTTAGAGGAAGACTTTGGGTCCCAGGACTAAAAGCTATTCTGGATATTATATCGAAGTCGATACCTTTTCTTCATTAGGCGGAATTGCTCTAGTTTGATGTTGAGATTCAGTGTGCTTCTGATAATTTAGTGATCGTTGCCAATTTGCACCCTAGCGATTACTGAAACATCTCAACACTTTCGTTGGACTGTTTCTAGAAGAAGGAATTCATCATATAGAGGCTTTCCCTCCTCTTCCTCTTTAACCGAGGTAGAGCCCCGCTGCAGATATATTTTGGTTGTAGTACGAATAGGTCGGTACTATCTCTGAAGGGCCCCGCTCTTAGTAGGTATACCAGTATAAAATAGTAGCTGCTGCTGTATTTCGTACGTTGAGTGTAAAGAACCGGAG